GTCAGGAAAAATTACGCAATTACAGGAGGTGATTGCACTCAGCTGGAGGTCATTAGGCTCCTCTCCAAACTATAAAAAGTCTACTTGTGCACACGCCCCTCTTTGCAGAAGTCAACACAGGATCGAATGTCAGAGAACCTTGTTATGAGCTTGGCAGGCTGGATTGCTGCCAAGGACCTGTTTGCCTGTTAATTAAATGCCATAATTTATCTCTGGCTTGGAGTGTGCTTTGGTGTGGAACGAGGGGTGTCAGAACAGGTAACTATGGTATGTTCTGAAAACAGCAAATAATCATGTTTTTTGGCTGTACAGACCTGAATACTCTAGGACCCCATACAATCTTAGAAAGGAAGCTGCGTCACTAGAGAATATTAGTATATTCATGGCAAAGGGCATTCTACAGAGAATTAAAAACGTATAGAGGTCAAATACGATCTCTGAACCTGGAAATTCCTGATTTTTGTTGTTGACTCAGTGTCATTTTAGAAAAACTAGGATTTTTAGCCAAGTCATTTTCTGTCTATTATATGCCATTGAAGTCCAAATAGTTATACAATGGCAATTGTTGTTAATACTATTACCACTGTTATCATTATTTATGTATTCACACTGTTATTATTATTATTTACATATGAACCCCTACCTAGCACATAGAAAGTATTCGATATGGGGAGGCAATCAGGTTTTCAACAAATTGCGCAACAAATTGTACTAAAATTGCTACAGAGTTAAGTTCTGGAGGTCCAGCCAAAGGAAATCCGTGTTAGCATTCCAAAGCATCCACCATAAACAGGTCTAACGTTTCAAGTTTTTATCAGGACAAAAAAACAAAGCAAGCCAAAAAATAGAGACAGAGATAATGCAGATCTCTTACATCAAGATATTTAGGAAATCAATAAACTGTAGAAATGGCTTGGTGTTCTGATGAAAAATTCCCCCCATTTTTCTTGGACTTTTATCATTGTTTAGTTTAGTTTAGTTTTATTGATCTTGTATGCCACCCACTCCCGAAGGACTCGGGCGGCTTACAATAAACAAGGGAAGGGGATAATACACAAGACAACATATTAAAATATACAACAGTCACAATTTCCGAGGAGCTGGATATTTCGAAAGCCCCCCGGCCTGCTGGAGCAGCCAGGACTTAATGGCTTTGCGGAAGGCCGGGAGGGTAGTAAGGATCTGGATCTCTATGGGGAGATCATTCCAGAGGGCTGGAGCTGCGACAGAGAAGGCTCTCCCCCGGGGAGTCGCCAGCCGACATTGGCTGGCAGATGGGATCCGGAGAAGACCTTAATCTGTGTGATCTAATCGGTCTATGAGAGGTGATCGGCAGGAGGCGGTCTCTCAGGTTGTGCTGCAGGCTAGCCTCATTGCCATTTATTTATTTATTTATTTATTTATTTATTTATTTATTTATTTATTTATTTATTTATTTATTTATTTATTTATTTA